GCATAACACAAAAATTAATCGTGAATATAAAACTCGCCATCGGAACCACCGTTATAAAAACCCTAGACCACTAGGGAGATCGCTCCCTCAGCCCACGACCGAGAGAGATGTCCACGATCGAAAACGGAGATCGGAATCACGATCAGAACATACCAATTATTGCGGAGCACTACTCTTCACATGTATAATTCCAATTTTCTTAATTACAGAGCTTAATTACTTGCTTAATGCTTAAATGCACAGCTAATTACCATGCTTAGTGTTAATTGTCTTGCTTAATGATGTGCTAATCTTCATGTTCCTGGGCTTTTCGAATTTAATAGTTATTGTTAAATTTATATATTCTGTGCTTGCACACAGTTTGGCCTCAAAGTGCACACATCTATTTATTTACTAACTGTATAAGCTAATGGTGAACTAGCAACTTTGTGGAGTTGTGCAGTGGCTAGTGCACACCTACTATGAACTAGTAACTATGTTCCCAATCCTACGCCAGGGGCACTACTTTCTGTTGTGCATTGATTTTCGTAATTTCTGGTATGAGATAATTGACAATTTGATTCTCCAGTCTAACAAGCAGCTGAAGTATGGTGATTGTCTCGATGAATTGGTATGGGTTCTATTGTTCTAGGTCTTATACTTGTACAAATTTTCGTTTTTCATTTTTTCTTTGTATTCATTCGGCTCTATGCACATCTGTTATAGTTGTTCATGCTTATGGAATTCTTTGCATGCATTGATCCGGCAAGGTCTTTGATTTGTGCGTGTTTGGAATCGAAGCTCATGCAGATGAGCTGGCGGGATGGAAAGAACAAGGTTGACTGTGGGATGTATGTTATGCGTCGCATGGAGAGTTATGTATGGCAGGGAGTGGCTAGATGGGGATGTGGGCTGAGTAAAGGTAACGTTGCGCAACTGAAGAAGTTGAGGTTACGCTACATGAATGAACTTGCAACTTCATAATTCAATCTACATACAAGTGTAGGAATATCTCCCGGGCGTATCAGTTCGTGTCGTCTATTTTAGGGGCTCCGTAGTCGTCTTTCGTTTGCTTCTTCTATTGGATTTTAGTTCAGACTTTTTGGGTTTAGATTTTGGCTTTCTCTTTTGCTTTTTATACTTTTGTCGGTGTTATTGTTTTGGGATTATGACCGAATGCGCACTTTTATATTACCGTATGTGCAAGCCAACACAGTTTGATACATTTCATTCATGGATAATAACTCATTTAATTTCACGGGAATGGCTAGTTTAGTATTCGTTAATAATTGTGCAGATTGAATACGTGTGTGCACACTGGTTGTAATCTGTGTGCACGCACTTCTCAATGCAATTAGTAACATGGCCTTCTTCACGCGCAACTGGTAGGCTTAGTTTGAAAATTACGTGTGCCCATTGCTTTTAATTTGTGTGTGTGCACTTTTAAAGTATTCCATAAAGAATTACTTCTTCACTATTTGCGTGTGTTGAGTTTTGTGGTTGCGCAACGAAATAACTTTTGGCCATGGCTAATAACTACCTCAATTTTATGCTACTGTAGTGTGGACTGTTTAGCTAGTATGCGTATTTAATTAACACATGGGTGCATAGTAGCGGTAAAATGTGTGCACGCACCACTCGTCATGGATTAAAAAGTAAATAAATTGCACAACACATACTAGTTCAAAATTATCTTATATGGTTAGTTTTTACATCGAGCTTCAAATAGTGTGCGTCCACATCAAAACAAAGTACAACCATGGGTAAAACCAAAATATATTTCACACAAGTGCTTCATTATTAGCTTATTGGCTGAGTACTTATTAGCATGTGTGCACAATGGGACTAAACGGTGTGCATAGCTCAACAAAAAATATAACATCCATGGGTAAAATTCAAAAGTTTAATGAGTATGTAATTTAACTTCAAATGAATTTAGTATACGACTCCACATCTTCTCTTGCAATGAGGCCTGCCCCAAATGTAATGCTTCGTTTATGGTTGTCCACTCCAGTGAACGGTATTTGACAAGCTTGTATCTGCAGTGTTTATGTTGTTTCGTAATTAGTGCACACACATACACCATTAATAATATCCGTGCACACAGACGTACAACTAATAGTAACAAGCTTGTTTCTACCATGCACACGGAAATGCATATCAGTGCACACAAACCCTAATTCGCTACTTACTCAGTTTTTCGCCCACAACACAAATTTCCTGTGTTAACACCAAAATCTCATGTCTTACACAACGCATACAGTACTACTCAGCCATGCACACACAAGTGAAGTGAATGTTAACATAAAGTGTAAAACAATTTCATTAAATTAAACTATGATAGTCTACACACATGTAATACTAACATGCTTGTAGGCCATGCACACAGAAATACATAGCCGTGCACACATAATATAGTGTCCTATTTCTACATCCTGTCGACCATTCCGAATCCAGTGTTAACAAAAAACGAAAAAATCATGTTTTATACCACACATAGAGCGTTATGCAGACATGCACACACGAGTGAATATTAACACGTACGGTAAAACAATTTCATTAAATTGAACTATTATAATCGGGGGTGATATGTTGTTCGCCTATAAATCACAAATGTATTTGTTCAAATATTAGTTGCATTATTCGGCACCGGCAGCACTGTTAAGTTTGCAAACAATATACCAAACAAATCTGTGAATGCCCCGGTGTTGAACCTATGGTCCGCTGTGTGCATACGAGACTATCAGTGTGTGCACTCCATTCATCAAAACGCTTCAGCCCTACCCCTCGTCTCTCCATTCTTTTTATTTTTGCACATTTGTATTCACAGAATTCACTAACATCCTCTACATGTATGCCCTCATTCAAATTTTCACGACTTCTATCCCCCAAAAATTAATACAAACGCATCATGCGCTGTTCTCCACACTAAAACGATATACAATAATAGTGTTCAAGTATACGATGTAATTACCTGGGTTTACATCATCCATGGAGCCTGAGTTGGCTTCGTAATTTCTGTGGTTTTCGTCATCCATCGCGTCAGGTCCGGCGTCCGCCATGGCTGCACGTTTGAGCGATTGTTCTCTATCGTGAAAGGAAATGAGCTGCTGGTGGTGTATTCAAATCCTTCCACTATTAAACTTCCTTGATTATAGCAGATTATACAAATACAATTCGTTCCTTATTTAAATTCTTGGGTGCATTCACAGTATTGCCCTTGCTTTGAGTAATTAGCAATCCGTGTCTCACAACTAAGAGTCCATCTAATCCATTCATCTTTTTACATCCTATGGCTAGATTTTGTCCGCACTTTTGTATTTTAAGGGGGTTTGCATGTGAATGCTATATATATATATATATATATATATATATATATATATATATATACATATTAATAGATGATATATTTAGTTGGTCAATGACCCATGTGTTAGAGTCCTAGTAGTGGTGTATCGCTTAGCTATATTATCTACTGCTCTGTATTATCTTTTGATCATTATCGAATACACTGGCTACGATACATTCATCTGGTATCAGTCGCTCTGTTGCGATCCTTATGGCGTCAATTATTCCCACCGCTTCCGATGCTTCCTCCGAGCGCACGGTGTCTGCGGTCCTTCTGGTTCTCCGACGGTGGCACCTCCCGCTCTCTCATCGGCGCACCACTTCGTCTCCATCAAACTCTCCACCAGAAATTATTTGTTTTGGCGCAATCAGATGGTGCCGTTTCTTCACGGTCAAGGCCTTCTCCGGTACGTTGACGGCTCTTTTCCGTGCCCCAAGCCGGTTGCGGTCACAAAGGGGGACGCTGCTTCGATGGATTTCACGGCAGTTCTTGCCTGGGAGCAGCAGGACCAAGCGATTTTGTCCATGCTCGTCGCGTCGTTGTCCGAGGAGGTCATGTACCTCGCGGTTGGTCAGGCTACGTCGCACCAGGTCTGGATGTCGATCGTGGGTGCCTTTGGCTCGTCGACTCGGGCTCGGGCGATTGGTCTCCTCAGTCAGCTGCAAGGTTTGCGCCAAGGTGACAGCACGCCTGGGGAGTTCCTAGGCCGTGCGAAGGTCATATGTATATATATATATATATATATATATATATATATATATATATATGTATACATATGTATATATACATATGTATATATACATATGTATACATATGTATATATATATATATGTATATATACATATGTATATATATATATGTATACATATGTATATATACATATGTATATATACATATGTATATACATATGTATACATATGTATATATACATATGTATACATATGTATATATACATATGTATATATACATATGTATACATATATATATATATATATATATATATATATATATATATATATATATATATATATATATATATATATATATATATATATATATATATATATATATATATATATATATGTATATATGTATGTATGTATGTATACATATGTACATATATATGTATATATATATACATATGTATGTATATATATATATATACATACATACATATGTATACATATATATATATATATATATATATATATATATATATATATATATATATATATATGTATGTATATGTATATATATATATGTATATATATATATGTATATATATATGTACATACATATATACATACGTATGTACATACATATATACATACGTATGTATATACATATATATATATATATATATAGATTGAGTAAATACCACCTATGGTCCCTCGAGTTTGGTGGCATTGCCATCAATGGTCTCTAACTTCCGTAATTACCATCTGTCATCCTCCGAGTTGTGACAAGTTACCTTCTAGCGTCCTTCCGTTCTTCCTCCCGTCTCAGCCGTCAAAATGGAAGGTAATATTGTCATTTGACTTAAACGAAAAGAATTAATACCAACCAAGGTCCCTCGAGTTTGATGATTTGGCCATCTTTAGTCCCAAGTTTGGACTAAAGACTAAAACTAATTAGAATTAAAATATCGAGTTTGGTGGTTTAAGAAACCCTTTTAATTTCTCAGACTTTTTTTGTGCTTCTTCGAATTCTCCCCGATGTGCCATATACAAAGCCTATGATTTGAATTCGAAAATACTTGTGCGATTGCAGCAGCCATGGCAGCACACTGATCAGTCATTATTGTTTGAGGATGCTTACCACCCATTGATCGTACAAATACGTTGAACAACCAGACAAACGACTCTATCCTCTCATTGAGTAAAAACCCACAACCAAACATCAAATTCATGCAATGATGATTCATGCCTACAAAAGGGGCACATATCATATCATACCTATTTGTACGGTATGTTGTATCATGTACAACTAAATCACCAAACAAATCATAATCAGCATTCATTTGACCATCCCTCCAGAAAAAGTTACACAGCCTTGCATCCTCATCAAGTTCAAATTCAAAATAGAAATCAGATTCATCCATTTGTCTCCTTCTAAATATCTCAATCAAATTATTAGAATCAGTACCATCTAAATGCTTTACCGAATCTGAAGATATCATGTTATACGCATTCCTAGGAGTAAATCCAACAAACGGTGACCCTCCTGACTGACGTTTTAAAAAGCGAATACCATCCGATAAGGGGACCCCAGTCCTCTTCATGTTTTTTAAACATGTCAACTGATTCTCAGACACTTTCCTATGCGACCTAAGCATATAACTCGATGAAGCCGGACACAGGTAATGGTTATGCTCCTTCACATGTTTAGTAACAATCGAATTCCCATTTGAATCTATATCAAACTGACACATTGCGTTACATCCAGATCTAGTAACTATCTTTGAGTAACACTTATTAGGAGTATCTGGTATTATTCTAAAACCAGACTTAGAACACCAAAACATTTTTGTCTTTAAAATCCGAGTTCCAGTAACATAATATTGTTTGCCCTTTCTAGCACTAAATCCCATACGAAACGCATAATCATTGTATATGACAAATGCATCTTCTATTGATCCAACAGAAAGTCCCAACAACTCTTCATTATCTGTGATTTTATTAAAACAACCCTTTAATATTTCTAATGAAACTATAGATACTACATTGTTATTCTACTGAAACTAATGTGCATTAAGAATGAAACTGACTACCATGATTTTGAAAACACAACAAATTCAAAATCAGTTAAGAATCGAACTAAACATATAACCTGGAATAGCTGACTCTTCAACAATAACATGTTCAGATGTACCATCAACAGCAATCGAATGGTCAAAATCATCTGCAACAAAATAAAAAATATAAATTGATACTTCAGGTCACTAAAACTGAAACTATATTGTTTCATAAACGAAACTACTGTGATGTCAACATGAAACTGAATAACATGATCTTGAATAATGTATAACTCAAATAAGAACATGAACAATAACAGTAATACAGTTAATACCTGGAATATACCCATTATCGTCGACAAAATTTGTACACGGAAAATCAAATGCAATCAGCAAAATCCATTCACCGGCGACCGGAATATCATCTTTACCTGCAACACACAAAAAAAAATCATAACATATATACCAATTACACTCAAACAATAACAACATCACACAAAACTGCAATACATAATAAGATGATATACACCTGGAATTACTGAACTGTTCTCATCAACGATCTTTGAATTCGAATCAATCTCATCAATCCTATTTGTAACTACTATTTCATTCATGTTTCCGAACATAGAGAACGATACAATAATTCGAACGATACCAAAACTATAGCAATTCGAACGAATCGAAAAAGGAACAGATCGAAGAATCTGAAGAAAAAAAAAAAAGAAAAAGGAAAGAACGACAAATCTGATAAAAGGAAAGAAATACGAATTCGAAATAAGGAAATAACGACGATTGATAGGAATTCGCCGTCCGGAAACAATTAACGGCGACGTCTGAAACGTGCCCAAATCAATGATAAACGACGTCGTTTCATACTCTCGGTGCATAATCGATTATGCACCGCGGTGCATGATATAATTTGCCTCTGCTTGCTGACTTGTGTTCATCCATTTTGAGTGACAAGTTTTAATCACTCTGCACTTCACGAGACTTGTTTTGAATTGGAGGTGAGGTGGGTCTCAACATTATCTCAAAATTAATTGAATTTGCATTTCAGTTTGCATAACATTCAGATCCAGTTGGGTGGTCTCGAAAATTTGTGGTTAGATCAACTACATATGATCTAGTTGATTGGTCTTGGTCGAGAACGTAACAAACCACATTCGGTGATTAAGGGGTGTTTAAAAAATAGCTGTTAACTGATTGTGTTAGTGAGTTTGATTAGAAAAGTATTTGGTAAATTAATTGTTAGTTGATTACATGCAAAATGACTTTTTCAAAAAGCAACTTTGAGCAGCTTTTTGAATTTTAACATTTTAAAACAATAAGCTGTTACAAAAAACTAATTAATCAAACACATTGTTTAACGTACCAAACATGGCCTAAATCTATTAAAACCAATATCCAAAATCAAGCTTAAATGAGGTTGATAACCCCTTTAATTTTCCAAGCAAAGAAACAAAGCAGTTGTAATAATAATAATAATAATAATAATAATAATAATAATAATAATAATAATAATAATAATAATAATAATAATAACAATAACAATAAGAACAACAACAACAATAACAATAATAATAATAATAATAATAATAATAATAATAATAATAATAATAACAACAATAACAATAATAATAATAATAATAATAATAATAATAATAATAATAAAAATAAAAAAGATAGGTAGCAGAATAACATGTGATTTGTGGAAAAGTGCAAAGTTATGGTAGGCCAAGATTTTGACCTGGTCATCTTTAATTCTTTAACACTAATCCGTACTATTGCTTTATATGAAGTTGAAGTTGTAATGATGATCTCAATAATGAGATTAGGTGGCGATGGGCTTAGTGTAATGGTTTTCTCACTTTTTAAGGGGAGTCCACAAGTTAAATTTTTTTTTTTATCTTTTAATTTTTTTATATTAATTTACGAATTACACATAGAACAAGACTCGACTGAAAATATGTTGATAATTATTAAATTTATAATTTCTTATATAAAATTTATACTTCACCCGTTCGATCGGTTACATTTTTGAGTGCATTGTATTAATTATATTTGAATGCATGTATATGTGGATAATAATTGTAATTATAATTATTGATTCCATAGATTACAATGACTGCATCTTTATATATATATATATATATATATATATATATATATATATATATATATATATATATATATATATAGAGTTGCACTCGGGTGCGAACGGCTCGTCCAGGCGCGAAATAGGAATGGATTCTGTTCGTCCACGTGTCCAGATCTAATGGATGAGAAACACTGATTTTTTTTTAAAAACGCGGTGGCATTTTCGTAAATAATTGAACATCGAAGTGCAAGTAAAATGTATTACAAGTGCATGTAAAATGTATTATAGGTGCAAGTAAAAATTTACACTGAGCATCAATACTTAGTTGCACTTATAGTTCTAAGTAGTTGCACCTATAGTTCTAAGTAGTTGCACACATAGGTATAAGTAGTTGCATCTAGGTGTATGAATGTTTGCGAGTGGTTTTCAGGAGTATTACTACCCGCTGAACTCAGATCAATGAATGTTAACAAGACAAAATTACATGCACTTATAGGTGAAAGTAGGTGCACATATAGTTATAAGTAGTTGCACCTATAGTTATAAATAGTTGCACATATAGTTATAAGCACACCCAGGTGCATGAATGGTTGTGGAAAGTGAATGCTAACAAGGCAAAATTACATGCACTTATAGGTGAAAATAGGTGCACTTATAAGAGATTTTACTTGCACTTCGATGTTCAATTATTTACGAAAATGCCACCGCGTTTTTTTTAAGTTATTAGATCTGGACACGTGTCACGCGCTGATTCGTTCGCATTTCCTTCCTGGGCACTTATTCGCACCTGAGTGCGTCCCTATATATATAACTATAGGTGCAACTACTTATAACTATATGTGCACCTACTTTCACCTATAAGTGCATGTAATTTTGTCTTGTTAACATTCATTGATCTGAGTTCAGCGGGTAGTAATACTCCTGAAAACCACTCGCAAACATTCATACACCTAGATGCAACTACTTATACCAATGTGTGCAACTACTTAGAACTATAGGTGCAACTACTTAGAACTATAAGTGCAACTAAGTATTGATGCTCAGTGTAAATTTTTACTTGCACCTATAATACATTTTACATGCACTTGTAATACATTTTACTTGCACTTCGATGTTCAATTATTTACGAAAATGCCACCGCGTTTTTTTAAAAAATCAGTGTTTCTCATCCATTAGATCTGGACACGTGGACGAACAGAATCCATTCCTATTTCGCGCCTGGGCAAGCCATTCGCACCCGAGTGCAACTCTATATATATATATATATATATATATATATATATATATATATATATATATATATATAAAGATGCAGTCATTGTAATCTATTGAATCAATAATTATAATTACAATAACTATTGATATTCCAACTCACCCCTTTTCATAGTTATTGTAATTATAATTATTGATTCAATAGATTACAATGACTGCATCTTTATATATATATATATATATATATATATATATATATATATATATATAGATAGATTACAATGACTGGACCTTTATGTTTATTGATTCATGCATGCTAAGCCAAAAACAAAGGGTGATTGAATTGAATAGTGTAGTAATGAAAAGGGGTGAGTTGGAATATCAATACTTATTGCGTGAATTGTGATCCACATAAATGTGTGGATCACGGTCCAAAAATAACATCGTTTTACGTAATTTTTTTTCTTCACCCGACTTATTGCAACATACATTTTATAATTTATAATGTACATTATTCTAAATTATAATGAACATTATTCTAACTCATAAAATACATTATCTTATCCTAAAAGTTTCATTATTCTAACACATAAATTACATTACTCTAACATATAATGTACATTATTGTAACACATTACACATAAATTAAAGTACATTATTCTAACTCATAATGTACATTATTCTAATTCATAAAATTCAACGACGTCGTTTTGGATCGTATACTAGTCCACACATAGCTGTGTGGTCCATACAACCACGTGGACCAATAATTTGCCGTTGAAATAGTAAAGAGGACTAGTTATTATATGCATGCGAATATGCGATGCATTTATATGATAATGCGCCAATCATACAAGGCAACCCACAAAATGCTCACCCTCAACTCTTTTAATATTTGTTTGTTTGTTTGTTTTTTTAATCACTCTTCTTAAATTCGGTACCTACTACCTAGTTCTAATTTCAAGTTGTTATCAATTCTTGTTTAAAGAAAATTCTTCTAACGCTTATTATTTCCTTCAAAACATTTAAATAATTTAAAATAAAATCTATCTAGCTTGTTTAATTTATTGGAATTAATCACACAATTACTTTCTTTTCAGGGCTACAACACTAAAAAAGAAAGTCATAAATTCAACACATATAATTTTAAAATATAATCTTGTTTACTATAGTTGTTTTGAATGACAAGGAGTTATAACACAAAGATAATGCATGATTGGTTTAAATAAGAAAAATTGAAGTAGCTAGATTGTGGGTGACAGATGGAATTAATCTAAGAATAGTTAAAGTATGTATGCAGTGGTGAAGTGACCTCTCTCCACAAACTATATATAAGAGCATTTTTGTAATATATAAAAAAAAAAAGAGAGAAATAAAATTTGGAAAAGACAAACAAGAGAGAGGGGTCGTCAATTGGCGACCAATTCAACTGCTTTTAGCACGCTCAATAGGTACTGCTAGTGTGCCAAACACGCACCAAGTTTTACTTTTTTATTGTTAATATTTTTTCGGTAAAATTTACTAAATAAAAATAACTCAGAATTCTCCAATTCTAACCAACCTAATTGAATTAATTGTACATGAACTAATTATATATTAATTAACCTAGTTAATCATAATTTTACACTTAATTGGTTAGTAATTCAATTCCGAGAACTAACTCACACAGACACACAGTAGAAGCAAAGTTAATGGATGCAATAATATAATATATATAATTGCAGCATCTATCAAATTAAATAGCTAAAATCGATTGAATAAAAATGTTTAAGAATGCATATAAGTAGCAACTAGCTATTGTCCAGTCTCTACAGTCATATACTATTTAGGAGTGATAGTAGTAGAACATTTTACCCAGGACATAAGTTTAGTTGATAAGAAATTTCATTTAAGATCAGATTTGCTTCCAGTGTTAGCGTGGAGGTTGGATTCCTGCGCAAAAGTGTACATAAGAGTTGGGAATGAACAGAATGATGTCATTGTTAGATATACAATAGTCTAACTATAATGAATAACAGTATACGAGAAACCTGACCTCGTATGATAGCGGAAGCGTAGCCATGTAGATCTCCAGCCATAGTTGATGTTCATGTTGTGTTGCCTCTTAACGGTAGACCGTCAGCCATGTTTTGCCTCAGACCTGACTCAGAACCCTAGATGGTGTATTGGTGTCTACTGAGCGGTCTGAGTACCGTAACTGAATGTGCTATCTAATCCATAATCCTGTATCCCATCAATCCAGGTTATATTAGGCACAGAGTTTGGTTGACTAACAACTACTAGTTATTAAGTCCAACCAGACCA